CATTCTACTTGGGCCAAACACCTGTTAATTAATAAAAAGACTAATCTTTATCAAAAGCATACACATAACATAAAAAAATTCCAGCTTACAGGTATAGGATGACTAACTAGTCCTGGTTTTCCTGAGACTTTCCTGATTTTATCACTGAAAATCCTGCATCCCGGGAAATCCCTTAGTTCCATTCAAACCGGGATGGTTGGTCACTTAACATGCAGTGCTCAGCCTAAGAGGCTATAATAGCTAGGGTGGTGGGAACTTTTATGGGAACTGAGAGTGATACAGGAAATGGAATGCAAGGAGAGGAAAGAGATGGAGATAGTTTATTTAGACAAGGGTGAAGATAATTTCTTACTCATATCAAAGAAAATCAATTTTAGCAACCACAGCAATAGGACAAAACAATTACTGAAATTTTTCAAAAACTTTCATGTAAATAAATATGTCTGTAGCTTCAAGATCCATGTCAGTATCCAAAAGACACACAAATATGACACTACTAGATATTGAACAATAAAGTGTTCCATGAGAAGAAATCATAAAACACACAGCCAGATGTCCTAGGGCCATACTACCTAATCCTCCCATTTAGACCTTGCTGTCCTCAAAGTCTGCCTCATTCAAAGGTGCTGCTCCCCAGTCTGGCTTACAGTTTGGTCCCTGCTTCTGCTGTACCAGATTCTGTTCACCCGTCCCTTCCCTGTTCTCACTGGTGCCTTTAAGATCACTCTTTTTCTTGGGTATTTCTCTTGATGCCCTTTCTTCACATCAACCTAAGCCCCTTTAAGATTCTTCTGTGTCTCTTTCCACATTGGAGTGCCTCCCCATTTCCTGTCCACTCCCCTCCCAACCCACCTGCCACACAAGAGACCCTGAGAAGAGAAATAGAGATGCCTCTCCAAGGACAAGGAGGAGAGAGAAGGAATGAGGAAGGGCTGCAATTATCTTTATTTGAATATTTTGGCTCTGTGTGTGGGCCTGTGTGTGGACCCGTAAATCATTTAGATAGGATTCCTTCTGGCCTTTATCTTTCCTTCTAGTGCCCACAGGTGTTCTAATATAGTTGAAATCATGGGGCATATGCATTTATATGCTAAGCGTTAACCCATGTCTTTCTGTTGTCATCAAAACTACCATTGTTCCCAGTTATTTTCCACCAAATATGATATTATAATTAGTAAATTTATACATATGGCCCTTTCCATAATTAGGGCTATTTTCATATCATAGGCATTCAAAATGAGTGCCCAATTTCATCTAATTTTGAAATTGATCAGCATTTAATAAGATTATATGTAGTATGCTGCTGTTTTGAATCCCTTCCATATCTGTTGTTAGAGCCCCTATATATGTAGTTTTTCTACTTTTTTCTTGGGCAGTGTCTATTGTAATTACTTTTCAAACAACTACTACTTGGATTTATTATTCTTTTCCTCAGGGGAAAAAACCCCCACAATTTATCCCCCTCCCCCACAAAAAACAAACTCACTTTTGTATAATGAGTGTCTTAGTCCATTCAGGCCACTATGACAATATACCATAGACCGGGTGGCTTACAAACAACTGAAATAGGCAACAGAAATTTATTTCTCTCAGTCTGAAAACTGGAAGTCCAAAAATCAAGATGCCAACAGATTTGGTGTCTTATGAGGGCTTGCTTCCTGGCTCATAGAGGCCCATCCTTTTGCTGTGTCCTCTCCTGGTGGAAGGGACAAAGAAGCTCTCTGGGGTCTCTTTTATAAGGGCATTAATCCCATTCATGAGGGCTCCACCCTCAAGACCTAAGCACCTCCCAAAGGCCCCACCTCCTGATACCATCACATGAGAGATTGGGTTTCAACATACAAATTTTGTGGGACACAAATATTTCATCTATAGCAAATAGTGTATTTTTTAAAAATAATAATATGTAAAAGACAAAATCATCCACAAAACTATCAGCATGAGAATACAGCCTATGCCAGTGTCTTAAGGACACCAGGGAGGAAAAAATAACAGGGATCATTTGCTTTTCATTGCCCAGATTTTTCATACACAAGATGCCTCCCAGATCAGCTAAAACCTGAGTTTTAACACCTTGTTCACCCCTCAAGAAGACTGCTGCCAGCATTTGCCATCCATAGAACAGTGCTAAGACAGTCTATTTCTGGAGAATGGAGCAGAGATTAACTGCTTGTTCATGATAAATCAAGGGTATTTGATTTGCCTGTTACATGCCCAGTTTTCTTTGGAAGCAAGCCCTGGAAGCTATTTTTTCTGATCAAATCCTAACTCTCATGTTAGTGCTTGTGAAAGAGAAAAATAACATTTACTCATGATAAAGACTGAGTTCTAGCCATTATAAATCTTATCAACTGCCGCATGAAGGTTAGGGGGAGAAAAAGAAGAAAAAGAAATTCCCATGTGCTCACTCAACCTTGGGTTTGGACTCATGCTGCCGCTACTGTTGCACACTGTTCTGGAATTTCTGGGATTGAAACAGATGAAAATATAAAAGGAGATAAAGTTGGGAACCTAAGGAGATGTTTTCTTGTTGAATGTTGTACTGTAAGGAATGGCCAGTAACATTTCAATAAAGAAAATTGTTATAGTTTACTAGTTAATATGAATTATTAGGAGGGCCTAATATTTTCTTTATTTCTCTTAGAAGCCAGCAAGATCAATAGAAATAAACTTAGCAGAATTTGCCATGTTGGTTGGTGTTTAGAGTCATTCACTCACACAGACAAAAAATGTATAATACTCTTTTTTTTTTTTTGCTTCTATAAAGGTGCTCAGTGCCTAATATACCTTCCATATAATCTTTTGGTTAATGGCTTGAAAAGAGATATAATTCCCCCCCACCCCATTATCTAAAATGTAAGCCAACATACAACAATTTTCCATAGGTTAAAATATACACTTTCACACAAGCAATTGTTTGCTTGTTTCAACAAACATTTCTTGGGTGTCGGTTGTGCTAATGTTCACTCAAAGGTACAGCATAAGTGAATAGTGTGGCCGAATGTGAAACAGATGACCTGCTGCCAACTCTGTCCACTCTTAGCTCACATGTGTTTTGACACCATCCATTAGCCTTGGGGAGAAGTGTTTTGATAGGGGGGGAAGATACACAAAGACAGGGATTTGTTCTCTCTGGGTGAGTGGTTATTTCTATTTATTTCTGAAGTTATTTGGATGTCTTTATCTATCAGCATTACATACAGCTTGAAATTTCCCTAAAATAATCAGCTTGGGAATAAGAATAAAGAAAGTTTCTTCCTCCTCTCCCTCCTTCTTTCAATCTTTTTTTGTTTTTTTTAAAGGACATCTAGTAACAGGCTGAGGAGTGAGCAGGTTGGTAGGATCAGTCTATATGGGGCATCAAGATATCACCAAAATAAATTAGTCATAGGATGCCAGTTAATCAAGTGTTCACTCACGGTTCCCTAAAATGGTCTTGTTCAGATGTGGTAAAAGACCACCTAGAACAGAACATTTAAAACCGACCAGAAACAAAGAGAAAGGTTTCTTTTTGGGAGTCAACCTTTGCCATTGGGTATTTTCGAGATGTCCGTACAAGTTGCTAGGGGCAGCTGCGGCCACAGCACCACCCTGAGCCCAGCCAGCTGACATTCACCTGGAGCTGGCAGAGACAGCCAGATGAGATCTGGAAACCCCAGAATGCCTGGGGTTGTGGTTTGTCTGATGCCGAAATTATAAATCCTCTATCAGGCCTTTCAAGAAGTTGTCTGGTCCATAACATTGCACATAGTACACTCACTATTTTGAACAGGGTGAGGTAAATTATTTTCAGCAGCAGCAGATCTTTTGATCCCAGTGACCACAAAATAAATATTAAATACAATTTTAGTAGTGATTTAAAGGGACTCCACATTATTCATTCTTGTCAGATCCTGTTTGAGAAAATGTACTTTTTCCCCTCATTTCCGCTGACTCAATTTTTCTTTGTTCAGACATGTGTGTGTGAGTGTGGGGTGTGGGAGAGTATTGTACATGGCCAGCCCCACGCAGTCCTCACCAAAGTTTACAAGACAGTCCTGGAAAAGAAGACTTGACAGGGAGATAGAAGTGTTTCTTGCACCCTCTCCTCGGGCTGTCTGCAATATAAAATATAGGACAGGTGAAAGCAGTTTTTTCACAATTCCTATGAGCCAGGTTTTCTCTCACAGAAAATCCACAGATGGAATAGTTGCCCTTCAGAATACCGTCAAGCATTCAGCATAACCATCGCTTCCTCTAATGGGTCCCAACTGATTTACTAATAAGGAAATTAAGCTCTTAACAAATTTGCCATTTCCCTTTTCTACTGCATCCATAGCCATTTGGGATAAAATTATAGGTGAATATTCAAACATAAACGCTATGCAACAACAAAAATATTTGTCACTCTCCCAAATAATTTGCCCCGTTTCTCCTCAAAGTTAAGGGGGAAAAAATCCAGAAAACTTACTTGTTCGTATTATGTATACCTGGGAAGTTTTTCATGCCGAGTAACAGAACACAACTTGAGCTGCCTTGCTTTCTGCTTCCAGGAAT